CAGGACTGGGAGGGAAGAAGGATGGTGGGGGACAGATGTCAGAGCTCTGTGTCTAGGCAAAGCTAGCTAGTTGGGGGGTCACGGCCTGTGCCGAGGGCACAGTGGAGGGCATATTGAAGCTGTATTCACATCCATCAAAATGGGCTCTGGAGGTTCCAGTTAATTGAGGCAGGTTCTAAATTGGGAGGCTTAATAAATGGTAATTGTCCTCCTGTGACAGCAGACCAGAGCTACACAGTGCCACCCGGACAGATCAGGAATCCTGCAGAGCTTCTTCCCTTTTACTATTTGGGGGCTCTGAGAATTGCTCCACAGAGGCCAGGTATCAGGAGCACCTGGTTCAGGCCAGGGCCTCAGGCCCATTCTGTGCAGCGCCAGTGGAGAGGGTTTGTAACCTGCCTGTGTTTACAGCGAGCTTCTGGGACACTGACTTACCCTCTACTCAGCCACCCCCAGATGCCCTTCCCTGAGCACCTTGCCTTTCCCACAGGATGCTGTGGCTTGATGTGTAGGAGAGCAGTGCTTGACCGTGTGGACAGCGATGACATAGCTAGGCTTGCTTCTCCCCGAGGGGACTGGGCTGCCTGAGGGAGAGTGAACACCATCTTAGGGAGTGTTCAGGTACATACCGAGCAGACTGTTCTCACCTTCCCAGTCCCTAAAGCCCAAAGTACTGTGATTGAGCTTCTCAAGCTTCGGCACTGAGCAGTTCCTGGGTTGCCAGATCTTGTCAGTTTAGACTGTCGAGGGGTGACAGAATGCTTCCCCTTCTTGGCGTTCCCAGAATGAGACCCATAAGACCCCTGGCAAGGTCGGGTAAGGTTCACAGTGGGTATGGATTATCTTTGATGTGTGTGTACATGGTGGACACAGATTTCCATGCAGTTCTGAGCCAAGGTTCTAAAGGGTGACGCAGCCCTACTGTGAATAGTGAAGTTTTTATCATGATGTTGTGTGTGTAGGTGGTGGTGCTTAACAGTGAGGACATGGTGGTAGGGGGATGCTATATGGACTCATCCTGACTATTCCTTCCTGCCCTATACCCTCTCATATTCCTGCCCCAGGCAAGATCCTTTAGCTCTGTGGTTCTCAGCCTTCCTAATGCTGCGACACTTTAATACAGTTCCTCATGTTGTGGTGACCCCAACCATAACATTATTTTCATTGCTGCTTCATAACTAATTTTGCTCCTGTTGTGAATTGTAATGTAAATATCGGATATGCAACCCCTGTGACACCCCCCCCCCCAAAGAGTCACGACCCACAGTTTGAGAACCACTGCTTTGCCAGTCACCTGGGGTTCTGACCTCATGTTCCCCCACCCCTGGAACAGAGGCATCTACCAGAGTTCAGCTCTTGACTTCATCCCTGGGAAAGAGGGCCCAGCAGATGGCTGTGAGGTCTCCAGGAACCAGAGATGGGAGAGGAAGCCTGTACAATCTCTTTTCAGGAGATCTTGGAGGAAATGGTCTGTTCCTTTAGCATGTGAGTCAGGGTGAAAGGCTTTGCCTTCATGTTTCTAGACAGGAGCTGGAATGTTTCGAGAGCCAGGATATCTCTAGAGACAACATGGAGAGCATTTCTGGAGAAGGTAGTTTCTGAAGATGAAATAGGGGTACATTTGAAAGTGAAATGAGAATTCTTCTGGAGATAGACTTTTTTGTTTTGTTTTGTTTAAGATGAGGCTTTTTTTGCATTCCTAGTATTGCCAGACGTAATGTTTCTGAGAATGGATCCTGTCTAGAGATAAGCTGTAGTGTCTCTGGGTGTGGAGTGTTTGAGGAGGTTGCTGGAGTATTCTGGAAACAGTGGGGGCCTTCTGGAGATGGGATGGAGCATTCTGGAAAGCTACTTAAAGTTGGGGTAGAGCTGTTAGGGAGAGCATTGACATTTCTGGAGATGGATCATACTTGAAGATAAAGAAGGTGTTTCTGGAGATAAATAAAACACTTCTGGAGATGGAACACTGTGGACCTAAGGAATTTCTGGATTAAAAGGAAGCATTCCTGAAGAGAAAATGGGTCATTCTCAGAGATGGCATTTTTGGATCAAGGATAGTAACTTCTTGAGATGAGGAGGCACAGCCAAACAGGCTGTTCAAAGGCCTCTTAAGAGATGAGAAGGTCTCACAGGATCCAGAGACCCCCTTTTCTCATACCCATGTTCTGTGGAGGTGGGCCTGAGGTACAGAGACCAGTATGGCCCTTGTCTTCCTCTAGGCCAGTGTAAGAACTCCTTAAAGGAAGACCCAAGGCTTCCCAGTCCTGTTTTGGGGGTACATACCCCATCTTAATGTGCCCAGGTGGCCTTCAGCCTCACTATGAGATAGCCAGTGTTGAGTGTTTAGATTTCATTTAATGCAGTTTTGTTAGAGCCAGCTGAGGCACACTTTATGGTCCCCTGCACTGGAAGCCTCCACTCTTTCTCTACCCCCAGACTCCTGTGCCTTCAGGTACCTGTGAGGCAGGAAGACGGGTGGGAACTGCAAGAGTGACCTAAAGAAAAGCCCCGCTGCTTGCCCTGCCTGTGGGGTACCTGGCTATGTCTTCCCTTTTCAGACACTGAGACCCATCCCCACTTGAGCTGGCCTGGAGCCCTGTAGTAATTATTTCTCTGCCTTAATTGAAATTTCAGCCTCAATGAGCCTGCCTCGGAAGTGTGAGGAGGCAATGACCCTGCACCAGCCTGAGGTGCCCCTTCCCTGCCCCAGAAGGAGGGTGGTGTAAGTACAAGGCGCCAGGCTGCAGTCCCAGAAGAAGGTCTAGGTGGGTGGGCTCAGGGCAGTTAAGGCAGACTGCTCTGCATAGATGGACTTCTTGTCCCTGGTGGATTAGGAGAGCCTTAAGAGAAAGCATAGCCACAAGCAGGCCAAGAAGTGGAGGTGGGGTTGTGAGAGGTGAATGATTGGGCTAGCCTGAGGAAGCAAGGTCTCAGGAAAACCTGTGCTTTCTCTTCGGTTGACAGGGACCTAGGAGAAGGATGGGCTGATGATATTCAGGTAGTGCCTGATAGCTGATGGCAACAGGCCTAGTCCCTGGTTCAGGGATGAGGAAAGCATTGTGGGTAGAGTGGCCTGGCTGGGACTATGAGAAGCCCGTTTTCCTTACTGCATGGTGGTGGGTGGGTGCTCTCTCCCTAGGACCATCTTGGGTGGTCCTTGGGCTGGGCCTGTCTACTGAGGGAGGGAGAACAAGGAACTCAGAGAAACACTGCTCTTGAAGAAGGGCCTTTGAAATGGGTGTGGTGGTGCACACCTTTAATCCTTGCACCTCAGGAGGCAGAGACAGATCGCTGGGAGTTCCAAGCCAGCCTGTTCTTTATAGCAAGTCCCTGGCCAGCCAGGGCTACATAGTGAGACCTTACTTCAAACAAAGCAAGAAGAGACTGCTGATCTTAGTCATATTTGTTTGGACACAGGAAAGCTACTGTGCAGGGCCCTCACCTCTTCCACACTGACCCCCAGAACCTGCAGGAGTCCAGAGAGCCTGTATTGGCCCATGGATCTCAGTGTTCTTCATCTGGGAAGTGGGTCAGTTTGGCAGGAGTTGTTGGGACTAAAACAACCTGCAAAATACCCATAGTTGCAAGTAGTGTCAGCGTGTGCCTGGCACCTCATACAGTTGGCGTGGGGCAGCTGCCACCCTCGGGGTTAGTGCTCAGGGTGTCCTCCCGGGACCTAGGAAGCATCTGGACACAGGCACTCCTGAGTAGGGCTTTCCACCCCAGCAGAGGAAGGTTCTGTGACCAGACCGAGGCAGTTGGAGTGAAAAGTGTGAAGGGATCGAGGGACGCTGCTTATTGTCTGTCCACTGGCTCCCACACACTAGGGCTACCACATAGTAAGCTCTGCTACACACTAGGGCTACCACATAGTAAGCTCTGCTACACACTAGGGCTATCACATAAAGCTCTGCTACACACTAGGGCTATCACATAAAGCTCTGCTACACACTAGGGCTATCACATAAAGCTCTGCTAGCTGCTTGCCCCTGGCTTTGTTCACAGCCTGTCCTCATCGGAGTCTGTGGCTGTGGCTACCTTCCAAGGCGGAGAGGGGACAGGATGACTAGACAGGACAGGGCATGTCAGCCGTCAGGAGCTGGGGAAGTGTGGGTGGGTACAAATGAAAGCGGCCGTCTCATTCGCAGCCCTTTGCTCCATGACTCTGACAGGGTGAGGAAGAAGAGGGTGAGGACAGGTCTAAGCTAGCAGCCAGGGAGGGGTATCTGAGGCAAGGCAGCCAGGCTAGGGCTGCTGACTGGGCTACTGCACCTCCACCAAGCTGGAACACTTGACTTGTTGCAGCTCTAGAGACCCCTGTCCTATGGCACATCCCGGCACCTGCTCCTTCTTCCTCAGTTGAGTTCTGCCTCTACTTCTTACACCAGCACCCTCACCCCAGCGCCTGCCTCTTCCTTGTACTGGCCAGGCTAGAGGCTGAATCAGTTGGTGATGACCAGAGGCTGCCGGGGTGGGTCCGAGGCACCAGCCTACTGCAGTCAGCTGCCAAAGCTCACCTCTTCACCTTGGTTACAGATAGGGCTGTGGTTGTGGGGCCCTCCTCATGCACAGAACCACCAGCTGAGCTGACATGACTCACCAGTGCAAGGCAGCTCTGCTTCCCACTATGGGGAGGGTGGTGGAACCCTCCAGATCCTGTGGCCCCACCCCATGAGGATGATCATAGGCCTGGTCCAACCCATGCCAGAGGGGACAGTCTGCGTTAGAGGTTAGTGTCTGAGTGAGTGAGTGAGTGAGTGAGTGAGTGAGTGAGTGAGTGTTCACTAAATTGGGCTAGGCCTTGTGCCTAGACCCTGGGTTTGGTGTCTATCCAGGAGAGCTTGTGAACTCATCCAGGGGAAGGTGCTATGTGGGTGGTCACACTGAACAGAATTCTGCATACCATGCTGCTTCCATGGTCTAGGTCCCCTCTGAAGAGAACATTTGCCATGCATGGGTTATCTGTTTTTCCTGTCATCCAGAGAACACTTGTGTTTCAGGGCCAGCCGTGTGCTGCTTTCTCAGAAATACCACCCAGAGACATCTCCTCTGCACCCTGACCCAGCCATCTTCAGAAAGTTGGAGGTCACATTCCCTCCTATGGCTGCCCACCTACGCCGGCAGAAAACTGGCTCATGCCCTCACTCTTGGAGCTGCCCAGGTGAGAAGTGATGTTGTGCTAGGGCTTTGTGTAGGTATAACACTTTCAGTAAATGCCTCTGAGGTCATAAAACCAGGCTTAGAGAGTGAAAGAATTTCCCCCAGACCACAGGGCCACCTGGGATTTGAACTAGGTCTTAGAGCAGAGCCTACAAAGGCTCTGCCTGTCGGGACCTAGCTCCAGGGAAGGAGGCCTGGTGGACAATGCTATTTTGTGTTTATTTCTGACCTCCACCCTGTCACCTACCCAGGCAGCAACCCCTGGGACAGATCCTGTCTTGCTTTTCTCCAGAACAAAGCAGGCTCTGGTAGCCCATGCCAAAGCCGAGGCTGCAGTGAGGGGAAGAAACTCAGCCCGCCTGTTGTTACTCAGGAGGCAGTGAGGGAAATGGATTTGCCCTTGAACTGTGGTGGCAGGCCACTGGGAGCCATGAAAGGGAGGCTGAGGCAGAGGCACCTGGGCTGTGATGTCACTGTCATACCCTCACTCCCATCAGAACACCAGGAGGCAGACACCATTTTTGTATTCAGCACACATTCAAACACACTCATGCTCACATATGTGCATGCATGCACACACATCTAGTAACGCACATCCTCTATATTCTCATCTCCCTTCTAAACCAGGCCTGGAATAGCTGACTAATGGGGGAGAGGAGATGGAGAAAAGGAAAGAGAAAAAGAGAGATTAGTGGAGAGAAAATCCAGTGCTGGATACCTTAGTTACCAGCTCCTAATGACTCACAGGGCGGGCTCAGCCACCTTCATGAGGAGGAAGACCCACCCTCTGGGCCCCTCCATCACCCCATTAATAAGATGGGCCCTTGTTTAGGAGTCCTGAGGCAGAAAGAAGAACCCAGGACTTTGAAAAGAGAAAATTCCCTGGGTGGTTTTGAATAGTTTTTTTTTTTTTTTTTTTTTTTGTGGTGGTGAGGGACATGCCCTCTTGTCCTTGTCCTTCCCGGCTCTGCCCCAGCTGCCTCCCTTCCACCAGCTGCGTCTGGAACCGCCTGTGCCCAGGTCTCCACATGGATGAGCATATTTCTCAAGTCTTTTATTGTTCCTGCCCTTCCCTCCTGACACCCTTAGCTTAGCAGAGGCCACAGGCAGCCTTGCATCTCAGGAAAGCCAGAGAATCCCCGAGGCTTTTCTGAAAAGGCTTAAAGCTGGCGCTCAGTGCTGAGGAGACAAAAGCACTCTCCCTTCATCCAGGGTGTTGGGCCTGCAGGCCAAGGCCAAGCTCATGGCCATTGCTGCAGCGTCTGTGGATGGAGAATGAATGGAAAACAGACTGACTAAGGAGGGGGTAAGGGAAAGAAGGAGATGCACAAATCCATTTATCAGACACCGCATATCTTAGACAAGCACATTTCAGCTGTTTTGGCTTTTGGCAAGCTGGTCCTACCCTTTAATTTTCTAATAAAAAGGAATTACATTTTCTAAAAAGGCAGTGACCAGCTTCATGTCAGTGTCTCTTGTAGGGAGTCTGCTAGCTCTAAGGCAGGCTTCTGTGGCTACAGGTAATCTGAATGGGGGCACAGAACAGATACCAGATACGCCATGAGGCTTGGTCATGCCCTTCCCAACCTGGCCTGTTCACTCCCATGGTTCTAGGTACACGGACTGGAGGCCCTGGGACTCACAGTAGAAACGTGATACTTGAAGAGTGACTGTATTCTTACTGCTGAGGTCTGGGTATCTAGCAGCTTGCTTGGATGATGAGCTCTTGGTTGGAATTAATGAAGAAATGAACAAATGAGTGTTCTTCAGTCTTTAACTAACTAACTGGATGGTCTTACTCATCCTTCCTCCCCTCCAAGCCCTGGAACTAAATTCGTTGGAAACTACCAAAAATCCCGTCACCCTCACTACTTTAAACCATACACATTGTTTTCATTTAAAAAAATTCGTTTTACATGTATTTATTTTGTATGTGGTGGAAAAAGGGGGGATTTACATCTTCCAATAAAAGTGTGAAGGTCAGTGTACAGTTTGCTGGAATTAGTTGTTCCTTTCTACCATGTGGGTTTCGGGGATTGAACTCAGGTCCATAGGCTTGGGGAGAGCATCTTTGCCCTCTGAGCCATCTTGAGAGTGCACATACATTGCTTTTAGTGTTTTATTTATTTTTCCAGATTTACTTATTTTACTTTATGAATGTTTTATATGTGTGCATGCATGTATGTGCATCTGACTGTAGCTCTGCCTTTGGAGGCTACAGATGGGTCCTGCCTGCTCTCCAGCTAGGGCCGTAGGCAGCTTGGAGTGGTATTGATAATGTTGCCGCTCCAGAGGGTTGTGCCTTTTGCTTTACACATTTACACATTTGAACAAATTTATGTTGGTAGAACCCTTACCATAACGAGCACTTACCAAATAGTAGCCTTTGGTGATTTGGGAGCAGGCTTCTTTGTTCTGTGTGTGGTTCTAGGCCCTGAACATCTTCATTCCCCTGCTGTGTCCAGGTGCTTCACAATGAAGACAGCATGATTCCAGAAGGGTGAAGAAGCTCCTGAGCCATAGCAGCTCCCTGCTGCTGGTACCCAGGTTCTGCCAGACCAGTTTTTGCCAATAGAATTACATGGGCCCATGGGATATGGGTCTTCAAATCTCACCGGCAAGTGTTTTCCTCAGGCTGCTGCTGATTTAGGTGGAGGCAGCCCCTCACCTAGGCATGAAGGCTGTTGGGGTTCAGCCAGCAAAAATGTGCCCAGTGCATGCTCCTGACCTGGAGCCCCTCTGAATCACAGTTCCTAGGTAGCCCAGGAGTCTGAATTGTCAGAATCTGGTCAGGTGTAGCTGGTGTTAGCTAGGTACTGGAACCAGCCAAGGCAGAATAGGGCTAGAGACATGCAGGTGGGGCCTGGTTAGCTCTGAATCCATACAGCCAGTGACCAAGCTGGTGGGCTCTAGTAGGGAGGGGAGACTAGTAGGGCATTGTCTCCTGGGACCCTAGTACAGTGTGCCTTTGAACTCCATAGATCTTTATTAGAGTGTAAGCATTTAGGGTAGGGAGGCTTTGCAAGAGAGAGGTACAGAGCAGGAACTGTGGCCTACAGCCCCAAGATGTGGCTTCTCTGTCAAGATTGACATGGGTTGTGAGTAGGGCCTCGTGACTGCTGGAGAAGGCATAACCCAGGACATGAAGAGCCAAGAGGTGTCTTGTGGATTCTCGCCATTCTCGTGCACTTCCTTCAGGCTGCTCTGCTAGCACACCTGTGAACACTGTCGACTTTCTTTTTAATTTTGTATTACGTTTATTTGTGTGTCTGTGTGTGTTTGTGTGGGGGCATGCACACCATAGTGTGGAAGTCAGTTCTTCCCTTCTACCCTCTGAGTCCCAGGGATTGAACTCAGGTCTTCAGGTTTAGGGACAGGTGCCTTACCTGTTGAGCTATCTTGTCTCATCCCCCTCTGTTTGTATAATCTTGTTTAAACCCAGGGCCTTTGTGTAGCAGGGACCCTCCAGTGATTTGGTGACCATGAAGCTGGTCAAGGTCCTAAAGGTACTACTGCATCCTTTTTTGTTACCCTGATGCTCTCAGCTCAGCCCAGAAAGACCTTGTCACAAAGAAAAGGAGGAAGGGAGAAGACATGCTTGCAGAACATTGAGGGCAGTGCCATTCTGCTCTTCAGAGATGGGAGTCGAGGTGGGGTGGGGGTGTTGAGAGGCCTGCAGCCTGGACTAAGTCCCAGCTTCTGTCTTGGGCGTATGTTGAGCCATGGCTGTTCCTGCTGCTCCGTAGATTCTTGCTTGGAGCTCCTGCACCCATTAAGTAGCCCCTGGCTGTCCCTGCCTCATCCGAAGACGGTGGCTCCCGGGGATAATGTCACAGCCTGCCCTTCCGTGTCATTCGGCAAGGACTCCACTCTGCACAAGTGCTCACACACGGGCTTTGTTTTTTAAAGATGTCTGCCAAACAAGTTCATTCATTACCGCATTTCTTATGAAGGATAGTCATCACTGCCTGTCTGAGCGTTGGTGGGGGAGCCAGGAGGGCCTCCCAGAAAGGAGCTTTCCTGAGGGTGAACACACTGTACCTCTGAGAGTCTCCAGAAGAGATGGTGATCACTCGTGGGCCTGCCCACATCACCAGGCTCAGGCTGGTTGCTTGTCGTTTATCTAGACACTGACGAGTAGGCTTGTGGAGACGGAGGAACTGGTCTCCAGCCCTAGCCCTGGTGGCAGGGGTTGGTTGCTGAGTCCAGGCCCACTTGAGGCAGAATGTGGAGACAGATGGTAGAGGAGTGTCCTGGACAGTGGGTCCTGAGCTGGAAGCTGCGTGTCATTTATACACTGGTCCTCTTGTTTCCCTGGGACAAGCAGATGAGTGCTTCCGTCCGTCAGGATAAGATGAAGCTGAGACGGTTCTCTATCATCTGCCCTTCCTTATTTATCCACCTAACAGACCAGGTGACCTGTATCACCAGGTGTGCCCCTGCCCTCTAAGTCTTTGTAGGCTACTTGGGGCCAGTGGGTAGATAGATGCCCAGGTAAGTCGTTATTATCACGTGTGTTGTCATGCCAAGAGCTGCATGGAGAGTGGAGGGACCAGTAAGTGGACGGCTAGTCCAGAGGCGTCGGCTGTAAGGAAGACTCCTGAAGATGGTGGGTGCTGCTCCAAGAAGTTTGGGGAGTTTCTTAAGTATTCTATTTTATTTTTATGGTTCTGGGGGTGGAACCCAGGTCCTGTGTGTGTCAGGCAAGCTTTACCACTGAGCCATACATACCCCACCCATGTCTACATTTGAAATGCCTACTTTGCACCATGTGCTAGGTACTTCTACACCCATGAATATATTCCATTAACACAAGCAACCCTGTGAAAGAATGGTACCTGTAAGCTCAAGAGCAGAGAAGGGGCTAGCCTGGCCACCTCAGTGACAACTGGAAAAGACTCGGAGTGGGAGGGAAGGTTGCCACACCTAGCAAAAGGAACAGCATATGCAAAAAATTACATCCATGGGAGCAGTGATAGTGTGTTACCCTTCAATGCTGAG